TTAATTACTTTTCTAACTTAAGAGACTTTTGTAAAGCTTGTCAAGACGCATCTAATGGTGGTTAGAGCATCAAAATCAGCTTGGTGAGTGCCGAGATATCTTTAAAAAATGTTTTTTTTACTATGTAAACTTCTTTGCAAACAATACTATTGTTTTCAAAGAAGTTTACGTAGTAAAAGAAATGTTTTTTAAAGATACCTCGGCACTCACCAAGCTGATTTTGACGCTCTAACCACCATTAGATGCATTTTGACAAGCTCTACAAAAGTCTCTTAAGTTAGAAAAGTGATTAACTTAGTATAAAAAAAGTTTTAGATGCGCGCATGCCACATTTGGAGACCTCCAATTTTTATAAGTAATTTGAGTCACAGTTTACTATGATCATTCTCTAGTTGACTGGTGGATCACCAATTAACTAATTTTCCAACGATTATGTTTAAAAAATCTTAGTAACAAATTCTCTCCTTAATATTAGACAGTTGTCAGTCACGCAGGACATTTTATATTGAAAAAAATGTCTTTCAAAAATAAATAGTAAACTGATCTGACAAAAGAAACAATTGAAACTCCAAAATTGTGCCAAAGTTACATGACTTTGGATTTTGCATTCCTGTAAAATTAGAGGAGTTTCAAACTCCGCTGAAACAGAGTTTGAAACTCTGACTAAGTGGTGAAGTCATGTGACTTATAGAAATTCAAATTCTCACAAAAATAGTCAGTGACTCGAATCAGGGTCACATGACTATGTATGTAATACATATCATTATATATTTAAAAAAATAATTAATTAATTAGTATAATGTAATGTATTGGTATAATATACCAAAATTTGTATAATTTGTGTAACTTATAGATACATTTTGTATCAAATATTTGGCAAAAATGTTTTTTAACTTTTATTTTTTTAAAAAAAAATAATAATTTTTGTTAAATTTTTTATATAATTTTTTATTAAAATTAATAAATTATTATAGAGAATTTCTAAAATTACACTAGTAAGTGAGTATACACGGGTATTAATTTATTGATTTGCAAATTCATGTAACATATAAATTTATAAAAAAACTAATTAATATTAGGGTTAGAGTTAGAGTTAGAGGTTAGAGGTTAGAGTTAGAGTTAGGATTAGGGTTAGAAAGTATTTTATACTAAAATTTTGTGTAGGTTATTTTTTGTTAGAACCTTCAAAGTAGTTTTATAAGCAAAATTTTGAGAAATTTTGGGTAATAACAATACCCTGTGTGTACACACTAGTGTACAAATAGAAATTCTCATTATTATATTACAGATTTTAAAAACATATTAAATAAATTAAATAATAGTAAGTTTAATAAAAATTTCAATTAAAACATTGTAAATTAATATTAAATTTATAAATTTAATAAAATATAAGATTTAAAAAGAAGGTAAAGAATTTAAAATTAAAACAAAAATTTTAAAAATTTATATTATTTATTTAATAAATATTTTGTTTTATTTATAAATTATACAAATAATTAATAATTTTATTTTATTGAGATAGAAAATGCCAAAACAAAAAAAAAAAAAAATCTCTCATCTGAGAATATAGTAAAAACATATGCAAAGCCAGTAGATAAAAAAGAAACTAGAAAAGAAAGAGAAGATAGATTAAAAAATAAAAGAAATACTAAATATAAACATTATCAAAATTTAGCAGGATCTTCAACAAGAACAAGATCTAAAATAGAAAAGATATTAGATAGAACAAGATCAAGGCAAGGTAATAAAAATAGACAACAAATATATAGAGCTTCTATGAGTGCTAATAAAATAGAAGAAAAAAAAGAAAAGATAGAAAAAAATGTAGAAAAAGATATAAAAAGAAAAAACAAGAACAATTAGAACAATTAAAATGATTTTATAAAATAGGATGTTGTAATTTAAATAATTATAAAGAGAAGAGAGTAAATGGAGAAGATATAGAAGATAGAAAACATAGATTTGGAAGAGAAATGGATATTGAATGTAAATATTGTAAAGTCTTAAAATGAGTAGGAGAAAAACCAAAACTATGTTATATGAATGGAAAGGTAGAATTATCATTACTTGATCTAGCACCACTAGTAATATATAAGTTACTTACAGGCAAAGATTCATCTAATAATTATTATATTGATAGAATAAGAGCATATAATTTTTTATTTGCTTTTACATCTATTGGTACAAAATTAGATAAAGATTTAGCCAATACCAAAAAAGAAGTTTATACTTATAAAATTAATAAAGAACATTATTATCGGATGGGTTCATTAATACCTGATAAAGGTCAAACCCCAAAATTTGCCCAAATATATTTTTGTGATACTTATAATGACCAACTTAAAAGAAGACATAAAATAATAAAAAAGGAATTGGATTATGAATTGTTAGATGAACTTTATTTGAACTTACTAATAATAATCCTTTTATACAAATATTTAGATATGCTAGAGATAGTGAAATAGAAACTAAACAAAAGCATTATATATAGCATTTCATAATACTCATAGCAAGGATAAAAAATTATATAGTATACCAACACCTAAAGAAATAGGTGTAATTTATAATGATCATCAAATGCTAGAAGAAAGAGATATTCTTATTAAAAGAACAGATAATATGTTTCAAAGAATATCTGAACTACATGGTGCTTATGATTCTTTACAATATCCTGTGCTATTTCCATTTGGAGAATATGGTTGGCATAATAATATATTAAAAACAGATCCTAAAAAGAAAAAAATTATTGAACAAAGTAAAAATAATAATGGTGATAGTGATGATAATAGTAATAATAGTAATGATGATAATAGTGAGAATAATAGTGATAATTATAATGAGAATAATAATAGTGATGATGATAGTAATAATGATAATGAAAATAATAGTGAGAATGATAAAGAACAAGAAAAACAAGAAAAAGTAATAGCAAAAGAAATGAGACTAATATTAAAATACAAAGATGATATTCATAGATTTTATAATGGTTCTTGGATTGGAGATTTATATGATTTATCTAAACTAGAAAAGAAAGAAAAAGAACTTCAAAAAACAATATCTTTTGACACTTTATTAGAAACATATTCAAAAGGGAAGTTAGGTTTAACTCAAATATTTGAAGATGCAACTATTGAATTCTTAGCAAGTTTTATGAGTATTAGTGAAACAAGTAAAACAAGTAATAAAGAATTTAAAAGAAAAAAGTTGCATTAGAAGAAGAACAACAACAATCTAAATCTGAAAATAGTTCAAATAGTAATAATAATGATAATAAACCTAAAAAAAAGAAAAAAAAACTTAGTAAAGGAAAGAAAAAGAAAAAGAACAAAAAATTGCATTTGAAATTAATAATGATAATGAATCTATATATCAACAATCTGATGATAGTGATAAAGATAGTGATAAAAGTTCATAAAAAATTCAAAAAACACACAAACAAATAAGAGTATCTATAAGGGAGTTTGTAGTACATAGGTTTATAATTAGAAACTCAAATAAAGAAAGAAGTATTCTGCATCATCCAAGCAGATTATTTCAACAATATATAGTAGATTAATATGTAAAGTGGAAAACTAATAGATTAAGATAGTATCATCAAAACCAAAAATTATTAAGATCAGAAGTTTATCAAGGATTAAGTAATATGACTTCTGAAGAAGATGCTAATCTTAATCAAATTGGTCAAAGAAAAATATTATCATTAAGTTTTACAGGATCTCCAAGATATTTACAACAATTGTATCAAAATTCGATAGTAATTGTTAGAGAATTTGGAAAACTTGATTTATTTGTAACAGTTATATGCAATCCAAAATAGCCAGAAATTACTAAAGAGTTTTTATCAAATCAAATTGTCTCTGATAGGTCTAACTTGATTGCAAAGGTTTTCAAATTAAAATTAAAAGCAATAACTAATAATTTGTTTGTAAAAGGAGTTTTGGAAAAAGTTATTACACATGTATATGTAATTAAATTTCAAAAAAGAGAAATATCACATGCACATATATTAATAATATTGGCACCTGAAGATAACCCAAAAACTCCAGAAGACTTTGATTAAATTGTATCAGCAGAGATATCTGATTTTAAAACACAACCAAAATTATATAAAACAGTAACCAAAAATATGATACATGAACCCTGTAGAAAGTTTATTAATTTAGAATCTCCATGTATAATTGATGGAAAATGCAGTAAAAATTATCCTAAAGATTTTATTGCTAATATATCTACAAATAAATCTGGATACTCTATATATAGAAGAAGACAAGATTTTAGAAGTTTTCAAAAAAGTAAAAACTCAATAACAATTAATAATAGATAAATTGTTCTTTATAATCCATATCTCAGTCAAAAATATAACTGCCATATAAATGTAAAGGTATGTTCAAGTGTTAAATCAATAAAATATCTCTATAAATATGTATATAAAGGACAGAATAGGGTTTTAATTTCATTAAATAATTCAACCAATAAATTAAAAAATATGTAAATGCAAGATATGTTTCTGCTTCTGAAGGAATTTGGAGGTTATTTAATTTTGGTTTACATAAAAGATCTCATAAAGTTGAAAGGCTTCCAGTATATTTGCCTAATCAACAACAAATTACTTTTTATGAAAGTGAAAATTTATCATCAATTCTTGACAAAGCAGAACATACAAAATTAACAAGATATTTTGAACTTTGTGCTAATAATTCTGAGAATAAACTTCTTCAAACCTTAAGATACATAGATATTCCTAAACATTATACTTGGAATACAAAAACTAATAATTAGAAAAAAAGAAAACAAGGTAGTAAAAAAGTAATTTCTTAGATATATTTTGTTAATCCAAGAGATAAAGAGAGATTTTACTTAAGATTATTATTAAATGTAATTTATAGTTCTGAATTATTTGAAGATTTAAAAACAATAGGTTATGTAAAATATAATACTTATAAAGATGTAGCATATCAACTTGGTTTGGTGGATAAAGATAATGAATGTCGCAGATTAAAATGAAATCAGATTAAATGAAATGGGTGACCTCTCTTGCTCCCCTTTAAGGCTTATAAAACCCACTTATACTCTTTTTTTAATAAACCTACCACTAAACCCTAACCCTAAAAAATGTCACCAAAATTTTTTAAATCATCCTAAAAAATATTAAAATTTCATTTTAATTTGATTTCATTTTAATCTGTCACAATAAATATATTGATTGTCTTGAAGAAGCAATCTTACTTAAAATGCCCTTACAACTAAGATTATTATTTGCCTTAATATTAGTATATTGTTTACCTACAGATATAGAAACTCTTTAAAAAAAATATGTAAAATATTTAATTGAAAATTTTTTTAACAATGGTGATAAAGAAAATCTAGCAATTACATAAGCAATAGTATATATTAAAAATTTTAATTCAAAATAGAATGGGTCTTTCTAATTTTCCAGGACTTCCAATGCCTGAATATTATTTATTAAAAAAAAATCAACAAAATATATTAATTGCTAATGAACTAAATTATAATCAAAATGAAATTGATCAAGTTTTAAAAGATCAGAACAAATTAAATAGTGATCAAAAATTTATATTTGATATTATTATAAAAGCAATTAAGAATGAAATTACTCAAAAATTATTTTTTATTGATGGACCTGAAGGAACTGAAAAAACATTTTTATATAATATAATCTTGGCTTATATAAGATCATTAGAAAAAGGTTTAAATAGAATTGCAATTGCTGTAGCATCATCAGGAATTGCTGCTTTATTAATAAGTGGTAGAAGAACTGCTTATTTAAGATTTAGAATTCTATTAAATAATGTAGATCATAAAACAACATTAAATATTAAAAAGCAATCTGAATTAGCAGAATTAATTAATATTGCTAAAGTCATTCTATGGAATGAAGCACCAATGATGAATAGACTTGCATTTGAGGCAGTTGATAAAACTTTTAAAGATATATTGGAAAATGATGAACCTTTTGGAGAAAAAGTTATGATTCTTGGTGATTTCAGACAAATTTTACCTGTAGTAATTAGAGGTACTCGAGGTCAAGTTGTTGATGCATGTTTAAAATCTTCAGTTCTTTAGAAGAAATTTGAAATTCTGAAATTAGAAACTAATATGAGAATTTAACAAAATAATAAAGAACAAAAAAAATTTGCTAAATTCATATTAGATATTGGTAAAGAAGAAGTACCAGTGCATTCTAATATTGGTGAGGATTTTATAAGATTGCCTAATGATATAGTTCTAAATAGTAAAAATCTTGATGATTTAATATTAAAGATCTTTACTGATATTACTATAAACTATCAAAATAAGAACTTTCTTAAGAATAGAGCAATTTTTGCAACTAAAAATGTTGATGTTGAATATATTAATTAACAAATACTTGAACAAATTCCTGGTAAGAAAGTTGATTATTATTCAGCTAATTTAGTTCAGGATAAAGAATTAATTGATTCAAGTCTTTATCCTATTGAATTTCTAAATACTTTAACACCAAGTGGAATGCCACCTTATCATCTGGTACTAAAAGAAGATGTATCTATTATTCTTTTACATAATCTTAACTCTTCAGAAGAATTATGTAATGGTACACATCTAATTGTAAAAAATTGTAGTGGATTTCTTATAGATGCTAAAATCTTAACAGGAGTTAATTAAGGAAAAATAATTTTTTTATCTCGAATGAAATTGATACTATCAGATACTGATTTTCCATTTAAATTAGTAAAAAGACAATTTTCAATTAAATTATCTTTTGCAATAACAATTAACAAAGCTCAAGGTTAAACAATTCTTAATATAATTATATTTGTCTAAGCCAGTCTTTACTCATGGACAATTATATATAGCTTTGTCAAGAGTTATATCAAAGGATAAAATTAAAGTTTTAGTTAAAGAAGGATATATTGAAAGCAAAGAAGGTGTATATACTAAAAATATTGTATATAAAGAAGTTTTTTCTTCTAAATAATTTTATTTTGTATATAAAACAATTTGTATATAATTTTAAAAGTATTTTATTAATTAATTAATTTGTATATAAATTTAAAAGTATTATTATTTAAAGGTGTAGCGACTTAGTGTAGTGGTCTAGTCATCACCCTCTCCAAGTGGCAGGTCTAGAGTTCAAATCCCACAGATGACGAATTTTGAAAAATAGCCTGTGTTTTGGTTTACGGTTGTGATTATCGGTTGGATCTAGAAATCTGTAATCTCGGTCAAACCATCTAGTAATGGGAGCTTTGGCACAATAATTTGAGGAACCGGCATAACTGAAAACCCATTTGGAAAGTCCTGAATTTGGAAGTAGCAGTGATCTTTGATGGTGCCACAGGAGGGCTAAATTTGAACTGGAGTCTGAGATTGGAAAACTGAGCGATCAGGTCCTTAAGTGGGGGCACACCAGCCGAACCACCGGGCTGATGCACCTGAGGAAAAAGACATATGCTCTGAAAGTATAGACCAAGGGGAGGGCATCCTTCAGGCACCTAAAGCCTGGGCAGACTGACTCGTCCAGGTTGCCAGCTGGAAGTAAGGGAGAGACTAATAAAGAATCTGGGTAAGAAGACGGTCCAAACATGGGTACCAGGTTGTTATGAACTGAATAAGGGCAAGGAGTACTAATGGGTGCCTAGTTAGGAAGGTTGGTGCTTGAAAAACGTCTGTAGAAAGGCAGCACTCCAAAAGGTGGTGTGAGATACTAATACGGAATGGCAGGTCAATATGTTCTAATTAGAAAGAAGTTATAGGAACATGCAAATGAATACATGTGTGAGACATGTACCGCTCTGTTAGGTTTACCTTCGAGGATAGATTAGCCATATATAGTTAGTAAGTCTTAATAATAGGGATTAACAAAATTTGTGTAATCAGTAAGTCCTAAGATAGGGTGCAAAATTCACAATAGATAATATCCGAAATCCATGTATGTATGGTGAGATACACCCAGGGTTAGAGGGCTGCTGAAGATAGTTAGAACCAGATGGTTTAAATAGGTACCCCCCTAGTTGAGGTGCAGGTATGGCAGATAGTGTAGAACCTTTGGGCAGACTACTTAAATTAGGCACCCAAAAGGTGCACGTGTGGCTTGATGTATCATCATTGTAATTACACTATAAAACTCTAGTTATACTCTAATAAAAAGTTCCCAGGCCAAAGAAGGTCACCTTAACACCAAAAAAAAAAAAAAAAAGAGTTGTTATTTGCTT